GACTTGGTATTGCAATCAAAGTTAATCGTAAAGAGGTCATTTTGGGGGCCGGGGGGTAATTGTCCTTGAAGGCTGAGATGAGTGTTAATACATGGTCCGTTCAAAACCTCAGCTCAACTTTATTCATAGAGCACAAAAAAAATGACAAATGTAGTACAGATTAAAGTTGAAACGTAAAACACAATAAATCAATAAATAAAATACAAATTCAAATTAAATTTTACACAAATAGCTTCCATTCCTCTCTTTACACCGTTTACATGTGTCGAGTTGTTTGCCACTAAGAGAGAGGACGTCTCCGTGGAGGGTGATGGGATGCTGAAATTGTAATCCCGAGACATGGGCATGCTGCCATTTTAGGTTGCCAATTACTCAGCCCCCCTAACTTGAATAGATAGATTTTTCTTGCTGCTTTTTCACGTTATTTTCTATCTTTGCAGCAAAAATGCCACTGTGTATGGCACACAGTTTTACCAATAAGTCTGGGAGAATCATTACAAGCACATCTCAAATGTATCAAATTTTCTCTTTGAAGGTACGTATGTGAGTGCGTACCTTCACTGCGTCATGCTATCAGAATCATCAACAATTAAATGAAAGTAAAACCCATCAGGAAAAAAAAAATAGCTGCTAAATGTGAACCTAACCTCTGAAGGTCACAATTCACGATATTGAGGTAATATCCTCTGAATAGTCAATGCAAACAATTAAGTTGGTTCTTTGAGAGGCTCTCATTATTCCATATAGGGATCATAAAACCCATGCTTATTAACTGTGTTTTCAGTGAAAAAAGTAACAGACCTTGTCGATAACATTGGCAATATGAGACGGCTGCTCCCTGGCTTCAGCTGCGAGGGCTCTATTGACAGTTCATTCATTTATAATCCCAGGCATGATGTCACTCGCATTGGCTGCAGCGGCTGAAGTTTGAATGTAAACAAATAACTGGTGAGGGGCCGCCCTTCTCAGAGGTTGCAGCATCATAAACAAACAATAATGGTGCTATTATTCCCAGCAAAAAAAAAAATAAATCAACATTGTACTAGTGCTAATAATTTAGCATGACCCCAAATTTATACTAAAAAGTAAAAAAAAAAAAAGTGGAAAAGTCCAAATAAAGGAGTGAGTTAGTGGCGCTGTTGCAACAGGCTGCTTCCTTGCTTGTGCCTCCAGAAGATCTAAAACTACTAAAACTCCATCCACTCCCTCTGTCATACTAAAATAACAAATGAACAGGTAACCCCCCCTTATCACAGTTTACACTTTTACAGTCCCACTAGTTTGCAGATTTTTTTTTTTTCAGTACAGTATTTTGGTTACATCAAAGCATAATTCCAATGTCGATCACTTGATAGTGGCACACTGGTTTAGTTTGAGATGGTGTAAGTTTGAACAAAGAACAAAACAGAGACTACTGCATTTCAGCACGGTCTAGTTTTTGTTGACAATGATTGATTTCTATCATCTGATGTAATCCTGCTTTTTATGCCTACAGAGAGTGAATTTCCTCATGTACATCTTTGTACATGATTATTGAGATGATGACTTACATGTGTTAATTTTGTGGAAAATGGGATTGCGGTTCGTAAAATGGATGTAACTGCAGGTAATTGTCGTCCTAGTGATTTAGAAAGAGCAGAGCACAGCATGTGAAAATGATTCAATTCCATTTGTCTGACATCCTTTAAAAAGTCGTTTGTCATCATCATGATCCCTGAAGACAGCGCAGGTCGGACAACGTCAATTTATTATTCATAGAAAATATTCTCTGTGTGTTTCTTTGACGTGTCTCCCAGGAGGTGACAGTAGACAGAGGTCAACACATCATAGCCAGAAGAACAGATTTTCAATTATTTGCAAATAAGCAAGCCTAATTGCCCAATTCCCTCACTACGTCCTCCTGTGCTCACATGCTTCGCGTTCTACCTGTCCAATGATGCCATCTGTCCTCTCCCCAGAGGCCTGCAGCCCACCGCCGCTTTTCACTGCTCTTGTTCATCGGTGACACCTGATCTCCGTTCTCCTATTTCACCATCTCATCATGACGTCCATTAAAGGGGCACTGGACCCCGGGCCTCGTTGGCCCGACACCACATTAGCACTCGGACCATTGAACGCAGACAAGGAGCATGTCTGAATTATTGATAGCAACACAACTAATGAGGAAATCCAATCGCACGTTTTTGTGCTGACACTCAAGCTCGCAAAGCGACCTCTACACATGACCGTATCCATCACTTCCAATGCTCTTGCTTCCGATCTTCAAATGGGATTTTTTTTTTCACTGGGTCATTTGTTGGGACATGTGCAGTTGCTTTCAACATTCTGCATGACTTCTGACTCAGTCAACTGCCAAGTCAACACAACTAATTATGACAATCGAGAAAGCAATATTGATTGAGAACTCTTTGAATGATTGTGTTGATATTACATTGAAGCCCCACATCCTTGTGGTTTGGCATTTGCAAACTTGTGGATTTTTTTTTTTAACACCGTTCGTTATTTGCTGTTTATACGGGGCGGGATGCGATTAAACGGTATTGTGTTGCATTGACTTTCTGCCACTTTTTTGGTAACATTCTGATGCATTTTAAGTGCAGAGAGACGTCTTAATTGAATGAGTGTGTTGTCATGTCACAAAGAGGAAGTGGCTATTTTCACCGCTCAAAATACAGTCACACACAAACTCCAGCACAAACCTCAGTCAGGTTCTCTGCAGTATGTCTGCAATATTGTGAGCAGTGCAATCTGGGCATTGATTGTACTGTAAAGGGAAGAAAATAATAACTCTCAAAGTGAGTCCGGATTTGGACCACATTTGAATAGTAACTTTTACCAGACTACTATATTGGATTTAGTCATATTTTACATGACTAGTTACTCGAAATAGCAGCCATTATTGAGTAATGTGTTATTTACCAACGTGTTACCGTTGTCACAGAATTTTATGGAGTATTATTTCATTTTTAAAAAACATGGCACAAATCTTTGTTGTTTGTTTTTCAGGAGGCTAGAATAGATTAATGGATTTTCAATGTATCTCAATGGTGAATGATGATTTGTAATACAAGTGCAAGCTTGGTAAAGGAAAAAAAAAATTAATTCATATCTCCCGGCAGCACTCTGATGATATTCCAGTTCATGACACTTTGTTTTCAAATTGTTCAACTCTTTGCATTGTTACTTTGACTTTTCGGTTCTGATTGGCTGGGAGAAATCACATAATTTGTGATGCGCCAACCTGTAAAGTGCTACAAAGGACACGCTCGTTGTTGTGTTTGACCAACATCGTCCATTCAGCATCTTCTTAAGCCTTTTTTGAATGCTCAGCTACATAGACCACAGAGATCAGATCTGAATGCATGTGTTTCTGTTCACTTGTGGATTCTCTGAGTGTGTTCATTGTCATTGTTTGCATACAACGGTGCTAGTGGAGTTGTGGTGAAGCCTTGTTGGCATTCACTCCAGCAGCCAGCGACTCATCGCCTTCACCCGCAAGCGGGAGGAGGCCCGAGGCGAATCGAAAAGCCGGCGAGGAAGCACGCGCGACTAGAGGAGGCGCTGCGAACATCAGGCAGCGTTTTCGATAGCCTCGGGCTCACGTGTTTGTGTCTTTGCGTCTCCAAGCATGCACGCCCAGGGGGATTAATTTTTTGACAGCTTTGTTAAGCCTTCGCTTAAGCGTTGAGCTTTGCAGTTCACATTGCGCCAGTGTGCCTTTCAAAAGCTTTAGCCTGCGAATCGCCTTTGTTGTGAAAGTCAAGACAGAGCATTGCCCTGTTGTCCGAGCGAATGACACTGCTGCGCGGCTCCTCTTCCATTAGTTGCACAGCGTTTCATTTTCTGCTGCCTTTCTGCCGTGACTTTGTCTGCGCTTTGCATCGTCTCTCTCTTTCACGCCACATCTCTTCATCCCTCTGTCGCCTTGTATTTCGTCTCATCCCTTCCCCCGCCTTCTTACTGCTTTCTCTGTCTGTGGTGTTTCCTTCTATTTCAACGTTCCTTTTTGCGTGGCCAGCCCCCCCTTCTTGCCTGGATAGGTAACCTTGCCTGAGTAGGTTAAGAGAAACGGGAGAGGCGAAGATTTAAATAGAGAAAAGGTTAATCCTGTGGCAAGTCCACAGACACACCAAGTTAAAGGACACTGAGAGGAGAGTGCCTGCCGTGGACAACAATTGCAGAAAACAGATGTGACAATCCATGAGCCTGCAGGAGGGTGATGTGTGTGTGTGGAAGGGGAGATTGTGGCAAATGAATGTGAGAAACTGTGGTGGGAGGAGACAGCGTTCTCAGTCGATCTCCTTTTCTACTTCATGACTTCCACTTCGCATGATGACAAGTGTGTGCTGCGCCTCCCATTGGTGGTGGCTGCCACCAATCAGAGCGCAGGCATGCAAGGTGCCTCCAGCTTATACACAACCCCAAAAAGAGAGGCAGAGCTGAAGAAGCCAGTGTCTGTTTCACAGTGTGTGTGTGTGTGTGTGTGTGTGTGTGTGTGTGTGTGTGTGTGTGTGTGTGTGTGTGTGTGTGTGTGTGTGTGTGTGTGTGCGTGCATTGAAGCTATTTTCCCAGTTGAAACATCAAAATGAGATGACAAATGGGAAGTTTATGATATTTTTTTCTTGGAGATCCCTGCATTCCCCTCTGGCTACTATGCAGAAGAAGAAGTAGAAGAAGAAGAAGAAGAAGAAGAAGTAGAAAATCTTGGCTCTATAGCCTCCCCTTCTGATTGGTTTCCTCACTTTTGTTTACCCGCCTCCTACTGACTCTCCTCTCCTCTCTCCCTTGCTCCCCTTTGCAAGTAAAGCCCTCCATAGTGTCCTCAAGCTTACCTGATCACACAGCTGCAGGAACACTGGACCCCGCACCCAACCCAACCCTACACGCGCACACACGCGCGCGCACACACACACACACACACACACGCGCACACGCACACGCGCGCACACTCACACGCACACACACACTCACACGCACGCACACGCACACAAACACGCTCTCTCTCTCTCTCTCTCTCTCTCTCTCTCTCTCTCTCTCTCTGTCTCGCACACCCACACCTAGCTTTTCACCTGGAGAGTGCACGCATACCAGGCGGCATGCGCTGCAGCAGTTCCCTCTCCTCGCATCAGCCTCTCTGACTTGCCTCCTGCTAGAGTGCGAAGGGGGACTCTGAGGGAGGACTTTGGAGCTATTTTTCCCCAGGACCACCAGACGGGGCCGTCGGCCGACACATAGCAGCACACAACATGATTTTGGGTGAGTTTTTTTTTTTTTTTTTGGTGCTTGGAAGGTCAATCATTTGCCGGCTCACTAATTCCTTTGCACAGCTTGCGGCTCTTCATTAGTAGTACTGTATATACCGCGTGGTGTTCATTCCACATCTGTCAACACAGACTGGCGGGATAAACCCTGAAATCGCAGCAAGGGCTTGTAATCATCATAATCGTGTGTCATTAATACGGCAGGTGTGAGTGATGACAGGCAAGGTCGAATTGTTTAGTGCTGAACTGTATGATTAGGGGGTGGTTGGTCACATGACCAGGCTGATGTGTCACCTATAAACTAACATTTATACGACGAAAGATTGTTTACATTGCCGTTATTCTGCGTCAGCCCCCCGCCGCCAGAACTCCAACTTGGCCATCTTCTTTTCTTTTTGCGTTATTCTGACTCTGAACACTTCGACTGGCTGATGTAGGGACTTTGTCCACATGACAGTTAAGGGGAGAAAAGCAAAGCAATGATGTGGCAAATGATGTCATAGTATCACCAAGAAACATCCAATCAGAAAGCTCGCACGGCCACAGCTGCTAGGAGGATAGTTACATGAATTTGGGGGACTGCATAAATATGCTGTGATGTTGAAGTCCTCAATTCATTTAAAAGATTCGGCACCGATTTGTTATTTACCCTTGGCTGTTTGGCAAAATCCCATGTGAAAAGAGTGAGTCGCGTGCTCGCTGCACTGTATAGCTTTGAGTTGATATGCAGTCTTGCTGTGCTCTGACTCAGCCAGCACTTTCTTGTTTAGTATTCTGGTCTCATAGTGGCCATGTCTGCGAGTGCGGTCCCGTGTGCTCCACATAGCTGGCGTGTGTATTCACACAGAGGATGCCGGGAGCTCGCCACTGTAAGTCCACATGACCAGTCATGCATGATGTGTGTAGGCTAGGAAGGACGTGTTTGTGCCTTTAACTAGCAACGTAGTGCCCGTCAGCATCTGCAAACATATTAATGTGTGTGTATGTTAATTGCGGCGCTATGTGCACTGCCGGACTCGCCGCTAAATTTGCGTGAACGCATGCCGAGACTGATCCGGGCTGTGCCCTTCTTTCTGCTCTCTGGGCTGGCATGTTTTCCAAGCAGGCGTCTCTAATGATTATAGCGACTCACGCATACTTTGAAAAGAACAAGCAAGTTCACGTGGCCTTGACTATTCAGCAGATTCTCGTCTTTGTAATTTTTGGCAGAGTTTACGCATTTTTGTTCATGTTTATGCACAATCAAGTGACTACGCAACAGTTAGACCCGCGCTGTCTTGCAGCTGGGGGCAGCGCTTGTACTTTGTCGAAATGATATTCATCTGGAATGTGTGAACAGCAGCTTTAATGTTCAACTGCGACAGTGACAAACTTAATCAGCAGAGCGCTGGATGGTGAAGAAGCAGAAACAGAAGCCAAACACCGAGCACCATGTTTTGCAGTCAGCTCCAGCCTTGAACAACTGTCATTTGCGGTTTGCTGCCTGCACCATGTTAGGGTTCATCTCCGGCTAAGTCACACCAAGTCAGTATGCTTTTCGTCGCATTTCATGCTCTGAAGAATCTTGCACTTTAACACCCCTCGAAAAGATCACCTCAAGTCCCCCTTTTGAACCTCTCATTCAAGATATGCACGTACCTACCGTCATTCGTACAATATCTGCTTTCCATTGCCTACCATGGTGATGTTGACACATTTACTGTTCGTGGTAAGATGCGGCTGGTGCACGATTTGATATTTCAGCCTTTCATCCTGGTTGAAAAGGCCAATGTCATTGTAATGACCTTTGCAAGGCTGACTTTCTGTCATCATATTCTGGTGTCTAATACAAATCTGACGAGTACTGATAGAACATGAGCAAACAATAGTAAATTATTATTATTATTATTATTTCTAATAATAATAATATTATTTTTTAATAATAATAATAATAATAATAAAACGTGTGCAGTTTGTGTAGAGACTGAATGCGTGTGTTTACAGTCTCCATCAGTCCTATGTCTGTGTTGCTAGTCTGCTCGTGTTGTTTGTTTGAATGACCTTGAAGCATAGACCCTTTATTCTCACTCCACCTGTCCTCTGTTTATTTTGCACGTGAGAGTCAAATTAGCAGAAAACAGCATTGTGAAGTTAGTCTAAAACCTATAGGTGGCAATCTTTAAATCTGACAATCGCGATGATGATGACGTCAGTGGATGTGCTCTATGGCTGCCCTCCAGGGCAGCTCATTGATCATCAAGTCAATCAATAGTAGCTCACTTTTGTGGCACTCGGTCCCATTTGAGTGAGGGATTGTAAATTCTGACAAAAATAAAGCAGGGAAACTCAACTTAGCATAAATGTCTTGTACAGTACAAATCTGGAAAAGGCCATAGAGATACCAATACCAAAGACTTTCTGTCCTGTTTCAAAGAACGATTAGAGGCATTTGGCATCAGCCAGTATTGCCATGAAATGCTTTGAGGAAATGGTGGTAAATAGACTAAAATCGGAGGTAGCTCCTTTTCTTATGCAATTTGTGTCGAGACAGGGCTATAACACATCAGACGCAATAATCAGCATGTCCCACTTGAGCTGTAAACATCTGCAAAATTGTAATGCTTATGCATGATTTCTGTTCACTCATTTTAGTTCAGCTTTCAATACTGTATGATTTCTTTGCTCAGACTAGACTTAAAATTGAGTCCTGCATCAAAGGGTTTGATTCTTTCTTGACAGATAAGATAGAGTACAACAAGTAAAAGTGAAAAACACTCACCAAACCTGTAATATAGTGGTGCCCCAGGGTGCAGCTAGTTCACCCGCGTTGTTCACTTTGGACACAAGCCAATATAGAAGAAGCCTAGCAAACACCATCATCATCAAATTCTCTGATGATACCAACACTGTGAGCCTCCTTCAATCTGGTGACTGCCCATCCACCTACCACAAAGAGATAGACCTCTTTCTGCCTTGCTGTAGAGAACACCGTCTGACTCTTAATGTGGTTAAAACCACAACGATGGTGTTCTCACCCAGATGACAACAGACACATGACCCTTAAGGCAGGGAAATAGAACAGGTTGAATACACTCAATAAACTGCATATGAGTTGTTTTCACATATAAGAAAATATGTGTGTGTGTGACTATTGTTATAATATCTGTCTTACTGGTGATGCACCATTTGTGTTCAAACATCCGAGGTTAGAAGACTGCAACTATGGATACTATTCATTAACCCACCTCTGGTGTTTTGCACTGAGTGGTAACATTAAGCTAGCGACAGTATGTGATTGTTTTCATTACATGCTGTGTAATTCTCTTTGTTTTGCGTTTAGTTTGACAGTAAAGTCAACCGGGAGGGCCCTGATGGCTCTTTTTTGAAGAATTGTTCGCTATTTGCCAAATTTGAGCCCGAATGAGCTTAAGCAATGCAGGAAATTGATCGCTGGTCATATTTTGGCATAGTATGCTTGATTGTAAAGCTCCCTGGCATATTTGCATTGACAAGAAATATTCTTGATGCTCTTTCTTGGCTTCATCTGGACCTTCCGCGGAGGAGAGTGAGCCTGAGTCAGCGTGTGTGGTCGTTTCATCGGCCCTCAATGGAACCCTCATATTTGGCCGCTTAATCTGTCTTCATCAAACTTTGCTCGCTTTTGACCTGTCTTTACGGATCAGGGGTCTTCCATCCTGTTCCTTGAGGTCCACTGTCCTGCCTGTTTTCCATGTCTCCCTCCCCCAACTCACCTGATTCAAATGATCAGATAGTCAGCAAGGTCTGCGGAAGTTGAATACCGATCCTGTTCATTTGAATCAGGCGTGTTGCAGCACGGAGAGGTGGATAACAGGCAGGACAGGGGCCCTTAAGGATCAGCACTGGAGAGCTCGGCATTATAGACAATGATCATTTCATTCCTTGTGTTTCTGTCAATGTGACTCTGGAATTATAAGGCATTAAGGAGCCAGACATTTGCTTTGCGTGCAGGCGCACTTCATCCCTTTTGGCTTTCTTTGAATATCCATGACAAAACACAGATGCTGAAGTTTTGAGCAATGGTCACTTGGGATTTCTGCATAAGAAGATGACAATTTTTTTCTGAATGTCCAGTGGACCACAATTCTCCAAACCAATTTTATTTCATTGTGCTCACTTGTGCGTCTAGCCGCTTTGCAGATCACATTTTGACTGCCGTATGAGTATAGAAAAAAAAATGACATGTGTATTAAGACCACCCCTAAAAGAAATTTCAATAACGATACCATTATTATTTATTGAAGCCATAACTAAATTATGACCGTATTCTCAGAAGTATACATCTCTTTACTTTCCTCCTTTTCTTTTTTCTCAGCTTTGCAACTGTAATCTCATAATTTCAGACACCCCCCCTAAAATTACAATATTAAAAAAAAGTTGACTGCTCTCTAATAAGACAAGGCAAAAGTATACTAAAACTCCTCACACTTTTATGATGTGTAAGTAGGTGGAAAATTACTCCTGCCAAGACAGCTGGCTTCATTGTGCTTTTATGCAAAGAAAAAAATGAGATTCAAGCACTGTATGGTGGCAGTGAACTCACCTCAACTCAGCTCAGTTCAGTTTGACAGATAGGGAACAATTCTTAGAAAAAGAGGCTTCAAACTGTTTATTGCCACTGCTCATTGAACTTTACTGTCAACCTAAGCATTGAACAAAGAGAATTACACGGTCTGTCCATAAAACAACCACATATCTTAAAGTACGCTACACTTCATGCAAAACAAACAATGCAAACCACCACAGACTCGCAAACAAATAGCTTCAATGTAGCGGCGTTATGGCGCATTAAGCAATGGATTTTTGGACACAAACGGTACAGCAACACATGTAGACAGACAATGGAACAATACTCTTATTCATGTATTCTTAATCATTTCTGAAAAATGACTAATGGCCTTGGAAAAATATTAATAGTCTATACTGCGTCAGTTGTGAAAGGTTTTCCAAATGTGTCACGAATCAATGTCTGTATTTTGCTCTCCCTAGGTGGACACGAGAAAGAACAGCACAGCATCCATTGAATTAAAGGGAAAAAATGGTCAAAACAGTTTATTTACATTGTATTAAATGTATCAAATGACATTACTGTAAGTCTTTCTTATTGGATACATACCCTTTTTTTGTTCTTTTGTGAGTTGGGTCTGTCATGGATAAATGGCATTTCCATTCAATAGGCAAAGATAACTTGAGATAGAAGTGCTTGGAGTTACGAGTGTGAAGGCACCACTGTAATAAGTGAATCCTTATGAAGTCTTACAAAAATGCATGAGGTCACTCCTTGATGACCGCTTGACTTCTAAAATATTGGAGGCATGCAGTATTTGGTGATGACTTAAGACACCAATGCACGAATGAGGATACGTGCATTTTGGAGAGCATCCCAAAATGATTGCATGCTGTATTGTATGATGACAAATGACATTGCATTTGACCTACTTCACTTTTCAACCCTCTCATGACGACCAGGCACCGTATCCACTGCCATTGCCGCATCCCGCTTTCCCTTGCCCTTTTTGTGTCAAGCAGGGTGACAATTAGGGCTTAAATGACCCGGTACACTGTTTTGAAGACAACGCTATTGCGTTAAAGGTCCAGCTGAAGTCGATTAGTTGCTGATATTATTGACATTTTTTCACACGGTACAGCGCTCTCCAACCTTCATTTCACCACTGACCCATTTAACATAGAGAAATATTATTTTTAAAGACCACTACAGAAACATATACAAACAGATGTTTGAAAATACAACTCACCAGCCCTGTGCGCGCATATATATATATGTATATATATATATATATATATACACACACACACACACACACACACACACACACACACACACACACAC